GGAAGGCCTGCGAACTATCTAATTTTGTCAGCGATTTGGCTAAGCTGCTCAGTGGCTTGTCAAAGCGGAGCGCTTCGACGTGTTTGAATAATACTCGATCTCGATCACAATCGTTTTTGTTTTTATTGATCCTGGAGAGCTCTAGTGTTTTTAACCTATTTTTTCTCATGAATGTGTACATCGCTACTCAGCGTTCTCTGAAGTTCTCCTTCGTCTTCTCTGCTATTAACCCGGGAGGCTTCCAACTTCATATGTAACTGAAGGGGCCTAGGCACAAACGCAGAAACCGCTCTACTTCAAATTCTCGTAGAACTTTACAAGTGCTTTGACTAAACTTCGATCTCAACATGACGATTAATAAGGACTTTCAGGATGTTTCTGGTGAGTGGCGAGATCCTTCTCCCTCGCAGCAAACCGAGTCGGGTATCATGGAGCGCGAAATGTTATGTCTTCACATAATTGACGCTGTTTCTCGGAGAAATGTTCAGTGGTTCGCTGGTGCTAAAGATCTTGTTATCAAACTGAGACAGGTCAGTCCTTTCATCTTGAATGTCAGTACTTGAACGCCCCAATAACTTGTGTATAGGCTCCTCCATTTCAGTTGTGGAATAATGCAGATTTCAAAGGACGTTATGTGGTTCATGCGCCATGCAATAAAGACCTACTGGAACTTGACGATTAAACCGATGACAGAGCACAAGTATAAGGTTCCGAGACTCCTAGTGAACTGTTTCATCCGACATTACAGGTATATTACGGGTATTTTTGTAGTATATCAATTTCTATAGTCGACTTGGCTTTCTCAAGCAATCCTTCGCTTTCAGACACAACAGTAACGATCTTGATCTACTGTGCGACATACTTTCGCTGTTCATTTAGGGGAAGGATACGTTACTGATTTTTGTTTTGTTGTTCGTGAATTTCTCGAAAGGGAAGTGATACCGGTAAGTACCCGCAGCATCTGTGGTGAGTTGCTGAAGGATATATGTCATTCTTCAGACGTATTCCATGGAATGGCGACGAAAACTGTTTTCCTATGTCTTGGGAAAGTTTGAAGCAGGCGGCTCCACTGTGATAAAAGATCTTCTGTATGTGAAAATCGTGCAATACGTCCTGATACCGAGTCTCCAGTGGGCTTTTGAGCGCTATAATGTTGACGAAGTAAGTTCTCCCAATTTTTTTTCCATGGTGCTGTATTTGACAGTTGACTTCAGATTCTGGGAGAGATACAAAATCCTTCTGAGCAACCGGAAAATGATCCCAATGACCTGGTGTATCGACTAGCACATGTGAGTACTTTGTGCTTATTACAACAGCTGAAATCAATGTTAGATGCAGTAGAACTTATAAGAACATTACAGATAATTGACCAGAATCGCCAGGTGATGAGTGATGGTATTGTGATCGTGCTTTACCAGCTTTGTACGCTTCTCGTGAAGCATGCACCACGGCATGTTCATAATAATGATTCAAAGTGAGTTATCTTGTACTGCATAGTAATGACTCTCAGTTGCTTCTAGTACTGAACAGGGTCATTTGTTCGTTTTTTTTCCAGCATTTCAAGGCCACTTTCACGACTCCACCCCGTTATCGGCCTCTTCACCATCAGCATCCTTCCATCACCCTTACAACCGTTGCTTTTTTTCTTAAGAACGGCAACTGATCGAATTTTGCCTTTCTCGCTATGTCAAAAATGTCTAGAAATCCGTCGGAGCGGCCTCTACCTCCCCTCCACTACGACACGAGCACCTTTGAAGATCTTAGATAAGATCCCTTAACACAGTCAAATACCCAAAAACCAGAACTGCTCTCCCCTTTCTTCAGCAGATACGATCCCCTTCGCTTCTCCTCCCTCGAAAACTTCCAGAGGCGACCCTAGCCTTGATCTTTCCTCAACGTTCTGTTGATCTTATGGTGTCTGATTGCTGATGATAAGCATTTTTTCGGTTCTTTAACGACTTGTTATTACCCCACTCTTGTTAGGAAAGGCGCGGCTTGTTGTAGGTAGATATCATTAGGATACTCGATGAGAGCTATTTAAGTTGAATGCGTATCTGCGCGTTCCTAAAACTTAAGTTAGAGCTCCTTGAGAGTCACGTGCGCTTTATAAGGGTTTCGGATTTTTTGAAGGGCTGTCATCGCTAATGTCTTCGGATGGGGTGCGCCGTGCAATCGACTGCGGTGTCAAAATCGCTGAAGGAGGGCTATGAATCGTGTATGTACCCAGGAAGGTTGCGCCACCATGTGGCGCACGATTCCGCTTGAAACAAGTTATAGTAATAGTATGATCTGATTTATTGGTCACTTTTTCAATGCTCCTGAACTGTTTCCACTCATGTTCAGACCGCGAAACCATACATGTCATCACTGATAAAACTGTTGGTAGATTAATGATGATACGTTTTTGAAAAATATAAAAAAGCTACAAAAGGTGCTCATACAACGGCGGTTGGTCCGCAATGTGTTAAACGGCCCAATTGGCGTCTATTGGTTCTTTGAACCTTGTAGCAGTTGATTTCGCATCATAGCACCTACAGTTATGATGTTACCTCTAGCTTTTGTGCCCATGCTCAAACAAAGGCGATATTGCATCTGTTTTACAGTAAAGAGGAAAGGTACAAAATCAGTGACTATTAAAAGGGCGCACCTGCATTATTTTCGCTCTTTTTTAATCTCCTATACCCATGTCGTAGGGAAAAGAGATGCTTGTTGTAAGTACATAGATTTTGGTACTCATATGGCATTATATTACAAGTTCTGAACTATGATAATTTTTAGAAAACATGGATGGCGATTGAGAGTTTTCATGCTGTTCTTCGCATGGTCTTGCCTAACTCCAACAAACAGACAAGATGCTACACTTCGATATACCGGCTTTCTCTTCATTTCGCACATTGTGCAGAAATTTACGATAAACAGGAAGATTGTGCTGCAGGTGTGTTTTTCGCTGCTGCTGCTACTTGAATACTGTCACCAACCCCATTTGGAATTTCATTTCTCTGAAGGTGTTCCAAGCGCTGTGCGGTTCATTTCAATACGACAGTCGCGAACTCGTGCGACGTGCAGCCGATGTGGTCACAGCAGCGATGCCAATCCGAATGGGATGACGGCCACCATCAGATGTTCATCAATGTGAAGCGGGTTCTTTGCGAGGAAGCTCACAGCCTGCAGCATATACAACACATAGTGTATGATAGCTCTGTCTCCTCTTTTCTGTGCTTTGAATGGGGCCTGAAAATTGATTTTTTAGGAGCATGGTTGTCCGCAATTACCGATCCTACTTCTCGTGTCGTCACGCTCTCTTTAAACCACTCATGAACGCTGTTCGTCGTGTCATAAGCACTCCGAATTCTGCAATGGATGGGTACGGTAACACTCCTTGCTCTCTGTGTCCCTCACGATTATTTGTGCCTTCCAGGGGTGATGACTCGAAAATTTGGCGTTGGATATGTGCGAGATGGTAATTAAGTGGGAGTTGCTGCGTTTGCAAAAGGTTGAACAGTTGACGCAAGGCCTTCCATCACACGATGATGAGGTGGGAAATTTAGAAAAGATTGACTGCAAATACAGGCTTTCGTTTTGAACAGGCTATTGTTAATTTTCGTTGAGCTAATTATTCAGTTTGAGTCATTACTGAATGACCAGGAGGCATCGCGACCGGCAGCTCCCAGCTCCACAGTCAAGCGGCATTCCAACAAGTGAGTAGAACTTCAGTAATATTCTTTACACGCTCAAATCAGTTGGTTCCAGGCAGTGCAGGTGGTTGATTTTGACGACCAGTTGTACAAAACAAATGTCAAAAGAATGTGTAGATGAAGTAGTAGCCATGCTCCTGAAGTTTGCTATCCAGGTAAGGCCACCACATAGCTATGGGACTATGTTTCGGATGTTCCGGCGTTTACAATGTATGATTTGTAGCCCACAACTGGGGTGCAGCCGCACCAGTTGCATCAAGCGACGGTCGAGAACGGGAAGCGAAGTATAGGCCTAATGAAGCAGTGCCTCAAGTCCGCTGTTTGGGGAGATATTGTGACTATCAAAGTCGGATGGTAGGATTACCATTTGATTGTGTTGGCTTGATTATTAAAACAATTCTAACTACACTTCAGGCTTGAGAAAGAGCTAACGGTACCACCAGAGTCCTTGGTACGGCAGGAAAATCAGGCACAGTTCGCCCAATCAATATCGCAGTCTCAGCAAGCGCTCGAAGTGGTGATCAACTTGGTAACAATCATGGTAAGTGGTGTTACTGAACTGAAAGGGGTGTGGGCCGACTATGCGTGGCCGGTCAAATAAATTTTGGGTTCGGGATGAAACCCTGTCTTGGAGATTCCCACTTCTGGCGATTTTTGTCGTGGTCGCTATCTCCATCTGAATTCTATCTCTTCAAAAATCTGTCGACCCTAGGTTATTGGGGAGAGGAAGGTTTTGTTAAGTCAAATTACTACTCTGCAGGAGTTTTCTCACCCTTTTTACCGAATACACCCTCATCCTCTGACATCACAAACACGGCTCCGTCCTTGGGAATTGTACTTGGGGAGGTATAGGCGCATTATCCTTCAGTTTCACTCAGAAGGAGACGTCTAGATTTGATCTCTCTCATGGGATTTATGAAACTTTTCATCATATCCTTGGAAGTACCTAATCAATTGCGAAAGCGAATTGGAGAGAGCTGCATTGCTCTGCGTGAGCGCATTTTATTGCTTTTTACAATCGTATCTGGGACTCATGAGTAATGTTATAAGCAGTTCTATTATGCAAGTGTTTTTAGCCCAAGCCATTATTGCTCCAAACTGTGCGACCTCTTCAAAGAGCAATAATTTCTTGTCTCAACTGTGGGCATAGCACGGTGAGAACTTTTTTTCTGTTTTTTTTTTTTGACTGCCAAATCTAATTTTGTGTAGATTTAAGGCATGCAGTGAAAGTTTTGAATTGTTTAGTTGGTTCGTCTTGTCAATATGCTCGTCTCAAAATTATTCGAAAAGTCTAACTGTTCGATGACTGGAATGTACGAATTCGAGATCCTGAATCAATTTATATCGAAGTACTTGAACGACCATTTTAATTCCTATGTGAAGTGAGTGCTTTTGAAATTTGAGTGATGTGTGCTAATTCTGAATGATCTGATTTCTGGCCTATGTACTGTCCATCTTCTTTCTCAGTATAAATATCTAAATTACAATACTCGAAAAATGTTCTTGTTTCCTTGGGACTTGTTCTTTTCAGATTTTTTGTTGGATACTGAACTATTTCAATGTTCAGTTGTTAAATTGAAATCAGCAGTTTCAGATGTTGGCTAATACCCCTGTTACTGAGTCGCTGATCAACGAAGCTTAGGAGCTGAAGTGCCTCACCTGGTTAACGAATGCTTCTTACAGATCGATCAGACATGCATGATAATGAATGCGTTCACAGCTTTGTCGTTACTTCGAGTCATCTGCACACAACAACCAGGTTACTTGGACGCAATGTGTTTACAGGCATATATTAAGGTAATCCTTATTGGTTCACCTTTCTTTTCTTCGCCTTTGCAGCTTTCATGATAACTGCCCTATACATGGTAAACCGAAACGGGTCGGTTATCTGCAAACTCGTCGAAGTTGAAATCCTTGTGGTTGAGTGCAGGATTAGCGGGAGTCGATGTATCGTCAACGGAGACCGTATCTGTTCTGTCAATGAAGGATCGAATCTGAAATTCCCATGATCATGTCTGACCCTACTTGAAGATCGAGGATTAATTGTTCGAGTATACCTCGAATGGGGGTGCCTCTACTAAACTACTATCCTGGTAGTTGAAAGTGTTCCCTTCCAGAGGCTGGATTTGATACCAAGGGCGGTAGATGTAGCTGGAGATGGAGCTCCTAACCACTGTGCCCGTTCTGCTCACTCTATCCCGAAAATGTATCTGATTTGGGTTCTATTGGCATATAAAGATTTGTGAAATGATTCTGTGGTATTTTGATGGCTACTAAATTGCGACATGTGAATATAAATTACAAATAAATATCAAATAAATAAATAATAAAATTTGAAAAATTAAAATTAAATAAAATTAAAAAAAATTAAATTAATAAATAAACTTGTACTAAACAAAATAAGATAAAAATGCGATAAAATAAAACAATAAATATTTGAAGGTACTTGAGAAGGCTGTAAGAGAGCACATCGGCCACATTACTGAGCAGGGTGAAGCGACCAGAGAGAAGGGTCAGTAATTTCAATGTCAACAAATAAAAAACAAAAAAAAAAAAAAAAAAAAAAAAAAACAAAAAAAAAAAAAAAAAAAACATATTAGTTGCAGCTCGTTCTTGTTCTATTCGCTAATCTCGTTCAAGTGCCATTACAATTTTAAATTTTTTAGTTTTAGCAAACTAGCTGAAATTGATAGCAAGCGCGTTGGAGATGTTGGCTCTTGAGGCGATATCAGGCTGAAGCGAAGAGAACCATATGCTCAAATGTTCTTGATTTGAACGGTCCACTATTCGACAAACAATCATTGACGTGGGTACTGTGGGCGGTTTCGGTATCCGAATTTGGTTGGCTGACACTTCGATGATGAGGTTGCATTCGGTTTCTTTTAGCTAGGAACCTAGCTAAAAAGGAAAGAGGAAAAAAAAATTGTGGGATGATGCGCAATCGTGGGGTGTTAGTAGGTGTGCCACATCGCCTGGGCGTGTAGAATGCCAACCATGTGTGTCTTGACGGGTGTATGGCGGTGATTCTGGGCGATGAGTTCGAATTTTCATAAATAAGATTGTATCCGTCGTGGGTTTTGACAGCAATCAATCAAATCAAAGAACTGCAGGACCCGCTTTTCATTTGGGAAGGAATGAGAATTAAAAATCCATTCAGAGTCGAGAAGAGTCCGATCACGATCAGCAGCTTCCCTTGTGCCTGATGCCTTCTGGCCGCTGTTCGAGGACACCTGGGTGTACCTATGCCTGTCGAGCTAGATAATGTGCCGTTTTTGGGAATGTGAACAGGCGGAACTGAGGCTGAGGTGAGATGCATGCCGCTCCTCGATCTTGTCATTACATATACGCATTTAGGCATTTTCAAGCTCAGCACAAGGGGAGGGTCAGGCAGGAAAGGGTCATCCTGGAAACATTTTGAGCGGAGGGCCTTTAGAAAGGAATCTTCCACGGACCATGGACCAGTGGGCGGGACCGGAAGTTTTTGTGACGAAATGCATGGTAGGTACGGATCCACGTGTCGAACGCACGAACGTGAACAGGATTCACTTCAAACCTTCCCATGAACGTGGATCCGTACCTACCATGCATTTCGTCGCAAAACCACTTCCGGTCCCGCCCACTGGTCCATGGTCCGTGGAAGATTCCTTTAAGCCATATCCAACCATTCATTTTCAGAACTGCGCGAATCCCGGTCTTCCACTTCTTGTTCGTTTACAGAGTGTAGTCGAGAAGCGATACAGGTATATAATATTTCAATTGGAGAAGGCGTCACAGTAATTTAGTTTTTCTTTCTGTTCAGGACAAAATGGTGAACTGATGAAAATGTTCTTGAAAGTTGTGCTCTTTGTGTTTGAGCATCCACTTCTGCTTACATCTGATTATGCGGAGAAGTTGGAGGACGCGTTCCATTGGGGTTTAACCGCACAGGTACTTTTTCTTAGTATACAGGAACTATGTGAATCTTGAAAACCTCAGCTCGCTTGAAGTAACCCTTCTATAGGAAACTGAACCGTTCATGATTTGATTTTGTCCATCCTGCAATGGATGTGGCGGTAAGCAAGCCTATCGCAAATATGGCTTTGGCGCTGCTGCTCTAATCGACAGCGAGATTGGGTTAAAGATTTAGAAGTGTGAGCAAGCGTTCCACATGATTCTTCAGATCGCTTCATTTATGAAACGTAGGATTAGGTGTGGGCTGCAGAAATGGGCTTCTAAAGGAAGTATGGGATAGTTCAATCCAACATCAGCAAGCTTGCTTATTAAGAAGTAATATTTCTAGGATCGAGAAATGCGTGAAAAATTCCTCATTGTCTTTGAACGGAATTTGGCTGTGAATCCGATAGCTCGCCTAACGTACATTCTGCCGGGAGAAGTACTGGGAACCTTTCAAAGACTACTTTTGGTTGCGTCATGCATTATGGTTGCTGCTACGATTGCTTCCTGCTTCAGGTTTCGAATAAAACAACACTTGATTTTTCGGATTCTTGCCAATGCCGTCCTTTTAGTGTCTTCCGCAGGTGGACATCGTCGTATATTTATTGACAGCTCAGCTACTCTTTGGAGGACTATGCATGCGGTAGCCGGCTTCCGCTCGTCATCTTTAAGCTCAGATATGGAGGCTGACGTTCAAACCATTTCATCAACACTCTACAACACTAAAATCGACAATGATGTAATTTTTAAGCAGTATCTGCTTTGTTTGCATATTAATTTGTAAAAGAAATCCACAACTATTTTGCTCCCAGCAAATTTGATCAATGGATGGTCGAGTTTAGAGTAAGGCTGATGAAGACGTACCGATGGAGACTGATCAGCTGAGGGAAGCTGGGAATGGAGACTCAAACATTGTCCATCGAATGGACGTCCTGCTCGAGGACCAAAAAAGTTTATTGATCGAAGCAGCATCATTTGATTTCTCATCAGCAGTGGATTGCATCGTCGGACTGGTCTTTACTGTGCAAGGTGCAATTTGCCTCGGTTTCATGCTTGCTTCAGATTAAATCGCGCATATTTATATACTTATTCGATGTTTACGTTAGCCAAGTACAAACTATTCCTTTCTGAATAAGTAACTAAACTGCAATAAGTCAAAGTGGTTCCAATGGGAACCCATAGAAGATTGAAGGTAAAATACAAACTTGGGCAGAAAATTAGTAGGAGCCAGGAGGCAAACGAGCTTGCCTCTAATCAGAGAATGTGTCAGCTCGAAGTGGATATATAGGGGTGGCTAAAAATAAGTCACTTTGCCTATGGCGTACATCATCAAACTTTTCTTTGCTCAGGGTGCCGCTGTTGATGAGATTGGTACGGCAAAATACTCCTTAGATATCTTCCCGTGAGTAGTTTTAAGCAACCTTCTCCCCACCTACCAGGAATATGACGTTCATCAGTCATTTGATTACTCAAAATTTTCGATGTCGTGAGTCAGTCGCACTCGCGAAATCGCGCTTGTTCCACCGGCCAAAAAGCCGAAAGGCGCGCTGGGATACCCCCAGGAGGCCCGTCGCGCGGCAAGAAGGCCGAGTCAGCGGACGAGTCGCGCGCGTATTAGGGAAATCGCGTCAAGTTAAATAGGATGTCCCATTGCACGTCCTTCATCGCACATCACGCGCCGCGACTCGTCCGCCGACTCGGCCTTCTTGCCGCGCGATGGGCCTCCTGGGGGGTACCCTCGCCAAGGGGTGTGACCGCTGTCGGTCAATGTACAATAGGCGGACTGGCGCGGAAACATTCAAATTGGTCAGTCGAGACGAGATTTCGCTAGAGTCCCTTCTTTTCCCCTTTGATTTCCGCTCCGAATTGAATTGTCGCTGACGCCATCAACGATGAACGCTCTGCTCCGTCTCTGCTAGAACAGCTTGATCCCGATGGCAAGTTGGGGTAGCCATCGGTGCAACAGAGGTAGAGCCTTGCAATGCTATTACTGGCAGCGCTCATTAGCCTCTTTGAAACTTGGACACTTATCAATGAATTGAATCAACGATAATTCTTCACATCCTCACAAAAACCTCTAGTTACAAACTACTTTTCTTTCAAGTCGGTGATCTAGCTTAGCACTAAGGAGAGCATGGCTATGTGCCTGTTATTTCTTAGTGAAGAATTCGTAGATGTTAATTGCTTTCAGATGATATAGCATTCATTGGTGACATGTTCTCTCATCTCTTCCATTCTCTATGGATTTCGATGAGTGAAGAGGAGAGAAATTACATTGGAGGTGAGTTACACAGAGCTGTTATTGAGTGTCTTCCTTTAGGCTAATTAAGAAAGAAAAACCATTATAAACAAAATAATTAAAATGGTTCGTTTCGCTCCTTCCTCAGACGAACCTTATTATTTCGTCAATCCCCGGAGCTCATCAGTGAGTTGGGATTGGCGAAATAAAGACACAGGGGAAAGACGAATAAACCTTGAGCTAACGTACGCTTAAAGGGGACACATCTTCCTTCTAGTTTCCGGTTAGGGTACGGACGGAACGCAAACTAGGCTACCCTTTTGGTACAACCACTTTGGTAATCTATAAATTAAGTGTCTAACATGGGGGAGTTCACATTTGCTTCTTCCTCTCCCCCTAAGTGGCGTAAAGTTCATACTCTTATTTACATCTGTCAAATTCATAATTTATAACACAACATTTAAGGGCTGGCAGTGCCTTTTATGACATCGGGCGTTCATGTGCAGCAAGCTCATGCAGTTCATCCAGTGATCAACAATTTTCTCTTAGAAACTTTCTCACAGTGTAATCCACCAATTCACATTGACGCCAATGCCAACTTTCAGGTAAAACGCTGGAAGGCATAGGCACAAGGGGAGCTGCTGATCCGTGATAGCACATCCCTTCTAGTCTCTTAAAATGGATTTTATGGATATTACAAATGAAAAGGCGGGATTGCAATTCTTTGATGGATATGATTGCTGTCAACAGAGAGTAAAACAGTCTCATTTATGAAAATTCGAACTCATGAAGAATCAAGAAATAAGATAGCGCATGGTTGGCATTCTACACTGCAAAACGTTGTGGGCACACCTATAGCAAAGAAATTGAGAATATATCTCCGCCCTTTTTTCAACAGCATCTTTCCTTTAGCTAGGTCCCTAGGTATAGAAAAGGAAAAAAAGAAGAAAAGATGCAAACCTCATCTCGATGTGTCACAACCAATTCGGATACGACACGCAGTACCACGTCAATGATTTTGTCGAAAGTGGAGCGTTCAATCAAAGGAAGCAAAACATTTTGGCATATGGTTCTCTTCGCTTCAGCTGATATCGCCTCAACACGAGGACGCAACATCTCCAACGCCATTGCTATCATTTCAGCAGTTGCTACTAAAAAAATTAAAATTGTAATGCAATATGACGAGATAGCGGAATAAACAAGACGAGCTGAAAAACTAATTTGACATTGAAATTACTGACCCTTCTCTCTGGTCGCTTCACCCTGCTCAGTAATGTGGCCGATGTGCTCTCTTACAGCCTTCTCAAGTACCTTCAAATATTTATTGTTTTATTTTATCGCATTTTTATCTTATTTTGTTTAGTACAAATTTATTTATTTATTTATTTGATATTTTATTTATTTATATTCACATGTCGCAATTTAGTAGCCATCAAAATACCACAGAATCATTTCACAAATCTTTATATGCCAAATAGAACCAAATCAGATACATTTTCGGGATAGAGTGAGCAGAACGGGCACAGTGGTTAGGAGCTCCATCTCCAGCTACATCTACCGCCCTTGGTATCAAATCCAGCCTCTGAAAGGGAACTCTTTCCAACTACCAGGATAGTAGTTTAGTAGAGGCACCCCCATTCGAGGTATACTCGAACAATTAATTCATCGTATCTTTCCAAGTAGGCAGACATGACATGACATTTCGGATTCGCCCCTCCACTTCATTGAACAGAACAGTACGGTTCTCCGTGACGATACATGACTTTCCGCAAATCGCTGCACTCACCCATCACAAGGAAATTCAATCTTGACGAATTTGCAGAGATAACCGACAACCTTTCGACATGTAATGTATGGGGAACAGCAGTTCTCAAAAAGCTGCAAAGGCGAAGAAAAGAAACGTGAATCAATAAGGATTACCTTAATATATGCCTGTAAACACATTGCGTCCAAGTAACCTGGTTGTTGTGTGCAGATGACTCGAAGTAACGACAAAGCTGTGAACGCATTCATTATCATGCATGCGACGAACTGTAATTTCTTAAAGGACGAATTCACGATGAAAAAGCAACCCATTTCAAATTAACCTAGGGATGGTGAGTGGTACACGAAAGAAGGAAGAACCATGAGAAACGGCCCAGAACCCGAGAAATGGTACCCCTTTCCTTGCCCGTTGATTCGAGCATTGATGCGACTCTCATCGCTGTGCCCTCTTCAACACTACGCTCTCTCAGCTATCTAATCACTCGCCACGTATTGAACTACGGCGAGTGATCAGATGATCGGTGGGCGGAGATCGCCGGACCCGCCAGCTTTGAGGCATGATAGGTCGCCGAGGTCAAATTTTTCCATGCGCGTCAGTTCGCACCCTCAGGAGGTCCGTGGGTCCCTCAACTAGGTCAGTTTCCCTTTCTTCGACCTTCATTCTAATCGTGAATTCCTCCTTTAAGGTGAGGTCAGCTTCAGCTCCTAAGCTTCGTTGAAAGCAGGACTAGTATAGGGGTATTAGCAACATCTGAAGTTGCTGATTCAATCTAACAACTGAACATGAAGGTTCAGTATTCAACGAAAAGTTGAAAAGAAAAGTCGCATGAAACAAGAACATTTTTCGAGTATTGTAATTTAGATATTGATACTGAGAAAGAAGATGGACAGTACATAGGCCAGAAATCAGATCATTCAGAATTAGCACACATCACTCAAATTTCAAAAGCACTCACTTCACATAGGAATTAAAATGGTCGTTCAAGTACTTCGATATAAATTGATTCAGGATCTCGAATTCGTACATTCCAGTCATCGAACAGTTAGACTTTTCGAACAATTTTGAGACGAGCATATTGACAAGACGAACCAACTAAACAATCAAAACATTCAGTGCATGTCTTGAATCTACTCAATTAGATTTGGCAGTCAAAAAAAAAACCAGGAAAAAAAGTTCTCACCGTGCTGTGCCCACAGTTGAGACAAGAAATTATTGCTCTTTGAAGAGGTCGCACAGTTTGGAGCAGTAATGGCTTGGGCTAAAAATACTTGCATAATAGAACTCCTATAAAATTATCTCCATGAGTCCAGATTATGATTGTAAAAGCATAAAACGCGCTCAGCGGAGCATGAGCTCTCTCCAATTGCGCTTCGACACTGATTAGATACTTGCAAGGATATTATGAAAACAGATTTAATAATCCATGAGAGACACTCAAATCTAGACGTCTGCTTCTGAGTAAACTCGAGATCATTGCGTCCATTCCACCTCAATTACAATTCCCAAAGGACGGAGCGTGTTTGTGATGTCAAGATAGAGGGTGTATCTCGTAAAATGCGTACACCTACAGCCTTCTCCAGCGAGTAATTTCACTTAAAGGCAAACCCCGGGATTAGCCCGACTAGTAGGAAGGATACCGCGAGGGAAATTGTAAGACCCGTACCTACCTAGATCACTTCAACTTGGTCGCGAAAATCGCGCGGTTAGGGCGCTAATCCTTACGGGCCTCCAACCATCGAACGCTTCCCACCCACCGCGAGATGTGGTGAGATCAGCGTGCATTGATGTAGAGATCAGCGCTCTCTCAAACGACGTTCTCTCTCGCGTGTTTTGACCTCTCTGATCGCCCTGTCTTGCCGTCGTACCACATCCGACCTTTTTGAAGGTTAAGGCCTTAAGTTCAGCGTTCCCAAAGAGTTCTCTCGCTTCCCTCTCCACTTTGGGGTCGCTCCGCAGCTAAGCTATCACTGCGAAGCGCTTAGCCACCAGTTTAATCTCCGGAGTTGCCTTCATACAAAATCTTCCTCTCCCCAATACCTAAGGTCCGACAGATTTTCAGAGATAGAATTCAGATGGAGATAGCACCACGACGAAATCGCCAGTGTGGGAATCTCCAAGACAGGGTTCATCCGCCAATTTATCTGACCCACGCAATAGTAGTCGGCCACGCCCCCTTTCAGTTCAGTAACACCACTTACCATGATTGTTACCAAGTTGATCACCACTTCGAGCGCTTGCTGAGACTGCGATATTGATTGGGCGAACTGTGCCTGATTTTCCTGCCGTACCAAGGACTCTGGTGGTACCGTTAGCTCTTTCTCAAGCCTGAAGTGTAGTTAGAATTGTTTTAATAATCAAGCCAACACAATCAAATGGTAATCCTACCATCCGACTTTGATAGTCACAATATCTCCCCAAACAGCGGACTTGAGGCACTGCTTCATTAGGCCTATACTTCGCTTCCCGTTCTCGACCGTCGCTTGATGCAACTGGTGCGGCTGCACCCCAGTTGTGGGCTACAAATCATACATTGTAAAACGCCGGAACATCCGAAACATAGTCCCATAGCTATGTGGTGGCCTTACCTGGATAGCAAACTTCAGGAGCATGGCTACTACTTCATCTACACATTCTTTTGACATTTGTTTGTACAACTGGTCGTCAAAATCACCACCTGCACTGCCTGGAACCAACTGATTTGAGCGTGTAAAGAATATTACTGAAGTTCTACTCACTTGTTGGAATGCCGCTTGACTGTGGAGCTGCCGGTCGCGATGCCTCCTGGTCATTCAGTAATGACTCAAACTGAATAATTAGCTCAACGAAAATTAACAATAGCCTGTTCAAAACGAAAGCCTGTATTTGCAGTCAATCTTTTCTAAATTTCCCACCTCATCATCGTGTGATGGAAGGCCTTGCGTCAACTGTTCAACCTTTTGCAAACGCAGCAACTCCCACTTAATTACCATCTCGCACATATCCAACGCCAATTTTCGAGTCATCACCCTGGAAGGCACAAATAATCGTGAGGGAACAGAGAGCAAGGGGAGTGTTACCGTACCCATCCATTGCAGAATTCGGAGTGCTTATGACACGACGAACAGCGTTCATGAGTGGTTTAAAGAGAGCGTGACGACACGAGAAGTAGGATCGGTAATTGCGGACAACCATGCTCCTAAAAAATCAATTTTCAGGCCCCATTCAGAGCACAGAAAAGAGGAGAACAGAGCTATCATACACTATGTGTTGAATATGCTGCAGGCTGTGAGCTTCCTCGCAAAGAACCCGCTTCACATTGATGAACATCTGATGGTGGCCGTCATCCATTCGGATTGGCATCGCTGCTGTGACCACATCGGCTGCACGTCGCACGAGTTCGCGACTGTCGTATTGAAATGAACCGCACAGCGCTTGGAACACCTACAGAGAAAGCAATTAAATGGGGTTGGTGCTACAGTATTCAAGTAGCAGCAGCAGCGAAAAACACACCTGCAGCACAATCTTCCTGTTTATCGTAAATTTCTGCACAATGTGCGAAATGAAGAGAAAGCCGGTATATCGAAGTGTAGCGTCTTGTCTGTTTGTTGGAGTCAGGCAAGACCATGCGAACAACATGAAAACTCTCAATCGCCATCCATGTTTTCTAAAAATTTATCATTAGTCAGAACAACCATTCAACTAATGCTCATGTCGGAGTATCAATCTAAACTAGTGTACAAAACTTAGGGACGAGACAGATGAAGTATCATAACCTTTTGATAGCTCTGTGG